GTAATCCTGTTTACTACGCATGCGAGTTTTATTTTCATTGTTGCACGTGAGTGTACATTTGAGTTATAGAAAGACACAAGAATATAATCCCATCTGCAACTTGATGACGTCCACAGCGTAGGTTGAGTAGTGCATTATCCGATCTCGATGAGATGAAATCCTCTACATAGATCTGCAGCGATCTGCTGCGAAAAGAATTTTACCGGCTCCACTGCCGTATTGCGTACTAACGGCCTCTCCTCCACGCTCGCCTCATCAGAATCCATGGCGAATGGGTGGAGATGCATGGTTTGAGCTAAAAGCAGATCACATTCTGCCTTGTAACCTATATAAGCTACATCGTGCACTCCAGATGTCATTTATTCCTAGGATATCACTGCTTTACCGGAATGACTCAAGTAATTCCACGTTCTGGAAGCCCTTAATTTTTAATTCCAAAATGATAGGACTTTCTTCCACTAAGGATCAAGCTCCGGCCGAACAGTTCAAACGGAATATCACGATGATACCCCAGAATTATCTCATTTGAATTTGTCCGAGCACAGTGATAGGCCTCACTTGCAGGTAACAATAAGATACAGCATAATATTATACTATGGCTAGTGTTATGAAAAAATGGTTCAGGTAAAATTATTGCTCGAGATGACAGAATGAATTCGTGATGGTCGATGTTGATCAATTTCTTCTTCATTCGTCCCGTCCCAAATCGAAAGGTTATATCGCTTCCACGTTTGCTGCTTCGGTCGCCTGAGCTGGTATGGAACAGGAAGGGAGCCGAAAAGACACATTCTTTCTGTTGAGATTGGATTTTTCAATTTCGGCTTTAAATTTGGAAGCCTGGAAGAAGAATTAATCACATTTCGCCGGAGTCGAATCCAATGCTTCTGCCTAAGAGCAGAAGAGCTCTGTCGAACTTAACTGGTTAACCTCTTAATCTCTCCCACACGAGCGACATCAGAATCTGAAAAGGGATTAGACGCAAGGTTCGAGCTCAAGGCCTCATTGGCCCTATACGGCGTTGGTGGATGACCTCATATTCTGCAGACGATCTTCTGCGCCATTTTTTTGGATGAACGAGATTCAGTTAAATTTTGCCGAGAAACTTCTATCGACGTCGGCACCCTGGGCGACAAATAGCCCACTGATGTGCACCATAAATAGGGTTTATTTT